TAGGGCTTAGGGGTTAGGGTATAGATGTTTCAGAGTGCTGAACCCGAACACCACTAAGCGTTCGGGGCTCAGCAGTTTAGGGCTCATTGTCCAGACCTTTAGTTAAAGCCCGAGAAGCCCAACCCTGAAGCCTAAAACCCATAAACCCTGCAAGCCCCCCAAACCCGAAACCCTAAATCTTAAACCCTAAACCCTAAACCCTAAACCCTAAACCTTAAACCCCTAAACCCTAAACCTTAAACCCTAAACCCTAAACCTTAAGACTTTAAGCCCTAAACACCAAACCCGAAAAGCCTAAACCTGAACCCTGGGTTTGAGTGCAAGACCATGAGTCCTCCGCAGACCTTGCCTTGTGACAGACTTCGAAGGTTCTCCATGGGAATTCTTCAGTGTATAATATAGGGGCGCGTTGCCATCTAGTATAGTGTCTTAACAAGTAGAACTTGGGTTTGAGGTACGTTATACCGTGTCTAAAATCAGGAAATCATAAGGAATACTGTTGGTCATATAGGGGCCTTAATACTCAGATTAGGGTTTTTGGGGCCTACTATACTATATTTCTAATAAGGAGCCCCCGAAATCCCGAAATAGTATTGGTAATTATATAGGCCCCTATATTAGGGACTTTTATAACGGCTTTGGGAGGATATTATTAGCGGCTTCATAAGGGTGAAGGAAAGAATGAACAGTATTGTTGCAAGGGCTTTGCTTAAGGGGTGTGCAATGACTTCAGAAGACGTCCATGGGATTTCTTTACGGCTTTACAGTTTAGGGTTTAGGGTTTAGGGGCTTGTAGAGAGTTGCGACACGGGCTGAAAGAGACCTACATGGCGACTTCCAGGCTTGTAAAAGCCCAACATGACATGGGGTTGCTTTATATAGGGGCTTTAATTTAAGACTCGGGTTTTGGGGGATATAATGCTATACTTATAATAAGGAAGCCCCCAAATAGTATATGTAATAATTGAGGCCCCTGAAGTAAGCGCCGGGGGATCGTTTCGAAGGTTTGGCTCTGTGGGTCTGGGGTAGAGGTGTTTGGGGGTTTTCCGTAGGTGTTTGCAATCAGGATCCTACTAGTCCCGGTGCTATATGAGGGCCGCTGTAGTTTCTGAAGCTTCAAAACCAAATTCAATGGATCCTTGGTACCCCTACAGTAGAAAGCAGGGTTTCTATAACATGAGTTGCCATTATCCTTCATCAGGTACGGAACCCCATTGAAGTAAACCCCAAAAAAGTTGGACACCGGATTGAGGACATTTTGCGACGGGATTCCTTCTACACTTCTCGGAAGGATTGGGGCTTTTGAGTTTCCAGCTTTGGGGTTTCTGCTATTAAACTACATCGGACCCGTTAGGTACCCCACCTCCACGAAGTGGTCCTTCGCGCCGTAACCGACAGTTTACGGTTTAGGGTTTCCCTCACCCCGGAACCCTCTGAAGCCAACACCTTAGATTTAGTATAGGGGCCTCAATAATTAGAATAGGGTTTGGGGGTATACCATACTATAACTAGAGCCAACACCCTAGATTTAGTATAGGGGCCTTAATAATTAGAACAGGGTTTCGGGTATACTATACTATAACTAGAATAAGGAGCCCCCGAGGTCCTATTCTAATTTTAAGCGCTTCGCGTCGTCCGCCCTCGGCCCGG